ATAAAAAATAATAAAACAACTCTTTGTGGCTCTGCCATCCAAAGAGAGAAAGAAAGAAAGAAAGAAAAAGAAAAGAAAAGAAAAGATTTCATTGTTGCTTTGCAAAGACAATGAATTCTTCATGCACAGGTTCCCCTGTGTCTCATTTATTTATTTTAATTCCTCGATTATTATGTCTCAATTTATTTATTTTAATTCCTTAATTAATTATGGCTGTTGCCATAAAATAAAGCTGATTTATGGTAAAGCATTGGGCTTCTCACTACGAGGACAGCGGTTTGAATGCACCAGCTGCTCCATGGGAGAAAGATGGGACTTCCTGTTCCCATAAAGAAACCTCAGAAAACAAGCCTCAGAAACCCTGTACAGTGCCACTCTGAGTCGACACTGACTTGATGGTACATCATCACCACCACCACCACCACCACCACCACAACGTTGTTGTTGTTAAATGCCTTCCAGTCAGTTCCATCTCACAGAGACCTTGTATAGGGTTTCCAAGGAGCGGCTGGTGAGCTTGCACCACTGAACTTGTGGTTCAAACTGACCTTACAGTCCAGTGCAATAGTTAATGTTTTTTGTGTCCTGGAAGGGGAATTCAATTTACATAATTATTCCTTGGAGAAATATTTTAAGGACAGAATCCCATAGGCAGCTTTCTTATCCAAATAGAATTTGCCTAGTAGAATTGCCCTGTGGAAGAAACTATTTGGATGGTATGAGGACGTAATTAGTTGACATGAGAGCACAACTGTTCTTAACAGAACAAAGCAATACAAGTAAAAGTTCCCTATGGGAGAGGATCTATTGATTTAACCTTTTAGATGGAGGCTACAAACTAGCTACCTCTGAGCTGAATGCTTTTGACAGATAGTAGATATGTTTGGTTTGGATCACATAGTTTTGGCCTATACTGTTTCCATAAAAATTGAGTTAGTTGTCAATATTTAAAACTCTAGCTTCCTAACCAATATAGGCTTTCATTTTTGATACATTTCCAGGCTTTAGCTGGACCGCTGCTTTCTACTTACCTATGCTTTGCACCCCTTTGTAGACTATGACTTTAAGACTGTCAGTTGACCTTTGTCCAGCATTTAGGTGCTATTTTCCTTATGAATGAGTTAAGAAAAAAGTGATGTGTTTTCTTGTCCCATGTTTGTGCTAACTATGCCACTTACTACAAAAATGGCACCAACCATCTATCTCATAGCACTGGCTACTAATGCATTGCAGTGACCACAGGAACTCAATTATCATACTTATAGTTAGGGGGTTTATGAGGAAAGTTAACAGATTAAAATTCAGGAGTTTGGTTTGAACACAAGGCCAGTGGTTCAAGCTCACCAGCTGCTACTTGGAAATCCTGTGCAGGATAGCTATGGGTCGAAAACTGACTCAACAGCATTTAACAACAACAAAAACAACAATTCAGGATTAGAAATGCCCAGGGCACAATTCATTCCTTCAGTCAGGACAGCCTCTTCCCAGCTATGCCCTGGGCGATGTCTGTCTCTGATCTTTGGCCTTTCAGCCACAGGCCCATTGGACTCTGCTCTGTTTCACAAGTGTTACCTAGCTCTTTGTTGCTGCTGATAGATGCCCTAAGGTACTATACACCTTTGCACAGGAGTTTCAGCCCAAAAGTGATTGGCTCTGGCTAAGTGGGTCGGCTAATCTAGCTCTCCTAGTTAAGTGCCTGGAAGCATCCCAGTCCTGCCCAAAGGCATTTAGCTGCACTTGTTCCATGTGTCAGAAAGCCCACTGAGCTATTTGGTGTACAGACTCATAGTTTCTGCTGCTGATCCTCTGCCACTCCTACTCCTCTGTCACAAACGTTCAGTCCTTGTGTCAAGGAGGTTCAGTGTTTAGAGGTCCCAGTGTCCAAAGGACGTGTTCCTCACCTGGTTCTTCCTGGATGGTAGTAAAATCCTTCCTCCTGCTTCTGAGGTGGCTCATTTTGTACCAACATTGAAGTTCCAGGTTTTTGCACTCACAGTGTTGTTAGTAATCCCTCACAACTGAATCCTTTCAACATCTTCCCTCATTTTCTCTTATTCGGACTCATCAATAAAAAAAAAAAAAAAGACATTTGAGAGTTGCAAAGACTTTGGGTAGAAGAGCCATGTGAAGTAGTTTACTGCGCTGTATTTACTAACTGAATGAACACAGGAAAGCTGTTAATCCTCCTTCCCTAGGTTAAGCCATCCTGAAAACTAGGACAGCTATAGTTCATATGACAATGTTGTGACGATTCAATTAATTAGTTTATATCAGATGCTTAGAAATTTACCTGGTTCATATAAGTAATAATTGTTTTATCTACTATTACTGTTACTGCTTTGTCAAAATTGGAAAAATTAAAATGGGCTGAATGTGGTACATTATTTCAAGAATCATGAGGAAGAACAATGTTTCTTTATGGTGATACAGTCTAGTATGAAATTATGTATGTATAATTATAAGATTGCACTACCATGATCAAATAAATTCATCCTACTTCTTTATGGTACCTGACTGGTTGCTGTTTGATATTCCTATTTTAGAGATTCAATTTATTCCAAAATATTTGGTTTCCTTTTTATAATTAAATCTTTAATAGCTTGTCACGAAGATCTTTTTTAAAAAAAACCCTAAGATGTATTTAGACATTTGTTGTTGTTGTTGTTATGTGCCATCGAGTCGGTTCCGACCCATAGCGACCCTGTACAGGGTTTCCAAGGGTGTAAATCTTTACGGGAGTAGAAAGCCTCATCTTTCTCCCGCGGAGCACCTGGTAGTTTCGAACCGCTGACCTTAAGGTTCGCAGCCCGATTCGTAACCACTACGCTACCAGAGCTCCTTTGTATTTAGACATAAGAAGAATAAAAAAGGCTATCTGAAGTAGAACATAAGTTATTATTTTTAAAATGAATAAATTCAAGTATGTAATTTCAACATTATATATATACAGAGTATTTAGAAGGCGTTAGCAGATCAACAGTCTTTGAAGACCAGGTACAGGAAGATGGAACACAAGAAACACTCATTTCATCTCCTGTTGAGTCTCCTTCCCAAAAGACCAAAAGTGAGTAGCTAATTACAAAGCCCTTGAAACCATCGTGTACCTTTATGAGGAATTTTGATCTATACGAACAAAAATGTAAGTTCTGTAAATAAGGACCTGTACTGTGTCATTTTCATGCTTCCATGCAGTCAACATTTACTGAGCTGCTACTACTTGTCAGACACACTAACAAATTGTGGCCCTACGATACACTGTTCTTGGCCCCAGCAGTGAGCAAAACAGAGCAATTCTTGCTGTCATGAAGTCTACATTCAAATGACTATTTTACAGTAGTTGCTTTCTAAAATGGGTTCTTAATGAAAAATTTAAATATTAAAATCTAGAGTATGGTTGATGGAACTTTTTTTCAGAAGAAGTTATAGGTACATAGTGTCATTCTGAGATTGTTAGAACAATGCATGTTTGAGGTAATCTATAAAATCTTTGCACTTTGACAGATCATGCATATTATTTAGCTGTTCCTTCAGTGTTCTTTGGCATCATAGTATTATATATCATTAGAATTGATAGGTATCATAATTCTAATCTATAATTATGTAATTGTTTCAGTAATTTCTCTATGATTTTTGTTTATTGAACTTTGGAAGTAGGCCCTCTGTACCATTTCAGATTTCTTAAATGAATTGTAGACTGAATTCTCCCAGTGAAGTAAAATACAAATCCTAAAATACATAGCTTTAGGGATTGTGATTCTAGATACTAACATATTCTTGCTTTTATGTAAGTCTTCAACACCATTTCTATTTTGAAAAAGAATCAAAGTAGAGAACACTGGAATTTTCTCTTTTGTCTTTTAACATTATTATTGTAATTTTCATTTCATATCTTGCTTTCAACTGAGTAATCTTGGTTTTCATATTTTGAATTCTATCACCATCCTAGTTGTTTTTTGTATTATCTAGTATAAACTGTTAGCAATGGCCTGTCTTGAGACTTCAGGAAAACTGTACTTTACTTCTTACAGGTGAAACTGTGACTGGAGAATTATCAAAGCTCTTGGATGAAATAAAACTCTGCCAAGAAAAGGATTATTCGTTTGAAGATTTGTGCCACACAATATCGGACCACTACCTAGATAATCTGAGCAAGATTTCTGAGGAAGAACTTGGGAAAAATGGAAGTCAGAGTGTAGTAAGTAAGAGGGGAGGGGGATAAAAAGTCAACTGTCATTGCAAGTTCACTATGTACAAAGATGAGGCATGGGAGATTACCCATTATCCTAGCCTCGGATTCTTCCAGTGTCAAATGCCATGTTCTCTATTGCTCTTTCCCTGATGTGCATTTGGATTTTATTCTCACTGCCTTTGTAGGGGAGCAAATATTTTGGTAAATCACTTACAGTTTGTGATGATCTCCTCTCTGCTGTTAGACACTCTTATAACATGTAAAGTCGTAATTTCTTTATCTTTTTTCAGTTTTACTGGGCATAAGGACCTTGGTTCTAAAGAAAGAACTTCCTTTTTTCTCTCGTTCCCATTTTCTCTGCTGACTGAGTCTTAACTCCATCTTTGAGAAGACAGAGAAAGCTGAGCCCTATTTTTATGTATAGTTCATCCAGTCATTCGTTAAGTCATAAAAGACAGAGCAATGGAAAGCTTGACCTGCGTGGTTTCATAACTCCAAACAGATTCTAAATCAAGAGTTCGTGATTCTTGTTCTTTTCCATTTTTATATTAACAAAACCAGGAGGAAAATTTGAGGGAATTGATCAGTTAAAAATGATGACTACTTTTGTCCTTTAACTATTGCCATTGAATTGATTCCCACTCTTAGCAACACTGTAAGACTGAGTAGAACTGCCCCACAGGGTTTCCAAGGTTGTAAATCTTTATGGATGTATGCACCCTTGGAGCAACTGGTGGGTTTGAACCACAGACTTTTTGGTTTGCAGCTGAATACGTAACCACTGCATCACCAGAGTGCCTTTGTGTCCTATGATGTCGTTAAGTGCTCTCAAGTCAGTTCTGACTCATAACAACCCTGTATAAGGGATTGAATCACTGACCTTGTTGTCAACAGTCCAGTGCTTATCCTACAGTGCTCTGTCTTCCAGGAGTCCTTGTGTCTTATAGTGGGTTTATACTAGGCACTGGTACTAAAAGAAATACGTTACTATAACGTGAAACTTTCCCTCACATAAAAAAAACTTTTACTCAATTTTGTTACAAAAATATTGTACTGTTTTTAAAATGATTGTACTTTCTTCAAAAGCCAATAATATAGGTTACTATAATAACTGTGCTGTACTATTTATAACAATGAAGACCTTGCTGTGCAGTATGAGATTTACTTTCTTTAGTCACTTTAAGTGAATTGTAATAGTTTCCTCAGCATAGTAGTTGCTAGTTCTTGATGGCACACTGACTAGTTTTACCTTGTGTGCCTGCTTTTACTGTTTGGTTGTTTTATTGTTGTATTGTCTTACATAAGATATCCAGTTATTCTATCCCCCCAAAGATATTTGTGAATAATTACAAAAAATTGCATGCGGTCAAGTTAGACTACAAAGCCGTTTGAACTGCAAGGTCGGTGGTTCAAGCTTACCAGTTGCTTCTTGGAAACCCTATACAGGGTCACTATGGCTCAGAATCGACCCAGTGGCACTTAACAACAACAACAAGCTTAAAAATGTTACTATAAAATCCTGGAAACTTTATTAAACACAAACATCAAAATGGTGAGGCTATTGTTTCTCCGTATACCCTCCATTTAGGTCTGCATACTTCTGCAGGTAGGTTTCCATCTCTCTAGCCTTTCCCCAAAGGATTCTGTACTCTTTGATTTATACCAGGTCAAAACAGCAGTTCTCTCATCCTGGAGGATGACTAAATATATTTTGAGTTGTTGGAGCAAAAAGAAACCTGAGGGGGCAAGATCAGAGTTTTTGGGATACAATTTCCCAAGGAAAGTTTTGTAGTACAGCCCTTGCACCCCTAGAATAATGAGCCAGTCCATTATCTTGATGGAAGAAAGAACTTCAGCCGCACAATTTTCCTGACATGTTTCTTACCAGTGGAGTTTTCAGTTTTCTTACACCTGTTTCCTAATAAGTAGCCATGATTCTTCTGTGTCCTTAAAGAAGATCTATCAAGACCACCACCTAGGGATCCCCAGAAGCAGTCACCCATACATAACCTTCAGAGCTGACCTCTGTGCCTTGAATTTAACTGACCCAGCAGATCCTCTCTGAAACCACGATCTTGACTGGACTTTTTTTTAAGAAGGTGAATAGACGCGTGAATTACTGAGAGAACTGGACTGCAGCCATCCACTAATCACAGAGACATGTTTGAACACATTTTTTTTTTTTTTTTGGAATAAACCTGTGCATGTCTAAACCAGAACCCCAGTAACAATATTTTAAAATTTAACATCATATATGTACTGAAGTAAATAATTGTAAGTTTTACCAAATGAAATAGTTATATCAATGAAATCTATATACTAGTAATTTTAATGTCAGAAAAAAATGCCTTGTTTAAAATCTAAACAGGTATATGCTCTCTACAAATTGCACACCTGTTACATTTCCTCATTTCCTTGAAGTGTATTAGAAATATAAACATATTTACCCAACATAAACAATGGTATTTAGGTTTTTAGGTCCATTTCTAAATAATTTGTTTTTTTTCTCTCCTAAAGAGTTCTTAACATACAGAAGAGCTAATTCAGAGTCCTTGGACATGGGAACAATATAGATGGAAGGAAGAAGTATGGCTTTCTTTTTTCCACATTCAAGCATGTTGTTATTGAGCGCTTAGCATTGAGTCAGTTCTGACTCATAGCAACTCTGTATAGAGTTTCTGAGGAGCAGCTGGTGAATTTGAACTGCCACCCTTGTGGTTTAAACCGAGCTTGCAGTCTAGTGCATTATCCCACAGCTCCACACCAGCACTCCACCTTCATGAATAATCCTTATTAAAATCGTGCTACTGGCATCCTCCCCTCTCCTCTTCTCCTCCTGTAGATTCCCAGTGCCCTTCCTCAGACCTTTGCTACCATCTACTTTGTTGTGTCATCAAAGTATCATCAAAATGTATCAGTTTTCAAAATGATTTCTCCTCTCTTTCCCAATCAAAACTTTGTTCCCCCTGTGTATCTGCTTTGAACCAGAAATTAAGTGGAAAATGGTTTCTGAGGAATCAACCCAAAATGTGAATAAGTGACTGTACTTTGTCTGAACTGTAGTTCTCCTTTTAGAAGAAGATTGGTAACCTAGGCATCTTCATTGATGAGATGTTTTAAACTGTGATTTGAACAAATGTTTACAGAGCAGGTCATCAGTTTGACCTTCAACAAGTCATCACAGACTTTTGTTTCATCACAATGATTGCAATCTCCTCCATGTAACAACAGTTCTCCTACTTCCTCTCTGCGATTCTTAATTCCATTCCACCTCCTTCCTGTCCATTCTGAACTTTGTCCTTAGGTCAGTGTTGCCCTTCTGATCTTGAATGGTTGACCATTCCATGATAAGCTTAGCTTACTAGTGTTGTCCTTTCTTTATGCCTATCCGTGCTTGACTGAAAATTGGACGAGTTCCATTCCAGACTTGAAGGGTGTTTGAGGACTATAGTCTTGGGTTCCTCCAGTCTTTCTGACCAACCAGTAAGTGCACTATTTTTTTTTAGATTTTGAGTTTTGCTTCACATTACCTCCTACTCTGTTACCTTCTAATGTGATCTTTCAGAGCAGTTGGTTGTGGTAGTCATCTAGTTCTTCTGGTCTCAGTGTTATGGAGACTGATGTTCAGGTGTTCCAGTAGTCCATTGGACTAATTGATTCCAGATATCTTAAAATTGTCATCACTCTTCTTTCTTCCACACACAGAGAGACCAATAATTGTACCTTAGATGGCTGCTCATTAGCTTTTAAGATACCAGTTGCTACTCATGGGACTGTGATCCTGAAACTAAACTATAGGCCGAGTAGCTCATTACCTCCAGGTGTTGGGTAATACCCAAGAATTTTTTTATCAGTTTAATGAAGAAATGATTACATACTAATGTTGTTAGGTGCCGCTGGATTGGTTCTGATACATAGTGACCCTATGTGCACCAGAGCGAAACACTGCACCGTCCTCACAATCATTGCTATGCTTGAGCCCATTGCTGCTGCCACTGTGCCATTCCATCTCATTGGGGGCCTTACTCTATTTTGCTGACCCTCCACATACTAGTAGTAATCATAAACTAAAAACCACAGCAGTTGCATGGCGTCGATAATGACTCATGGAACACCATGCATGTCAGACCAGAAGTGCCCTCTATAGAGCTTTCCGTGATTGTGACTGTATGGCAGCGGACTCATCAGGCTTTTTCTCCAAGATATCTCTGGGTAGTTTCAAACTGCCAGCCTTTTGTTTAGCCAGCTGAATGCTTAACCAGATAATAACCATTATTGTTGTTAAGTGCTGTCAAGCTGATTCTGACGTATTGCAACACTGTATAGGGTTTCTGAGGCTGTAAGTCTTTGTGGGATCAGAAAGCCTCATCTTTGTCCCATAGCTAATATAGGAGTCCTGATGTGGCTCTGTGGGTTAATGCGCCACACTGCAAAGCTGTTTGAACTGCAAGGTTGGTGGTTCAAGCTCGCCAGCTGCTTGTCGGAAACCCTATTCAGCATCCCTATGGGTTGGAATTGACTTGATGGCACTTAACAACGACAATATTTATTCAGAAATTTGTATGTGTAAAACATTTCCTTATGCTCTGTTTATTGTTATATAATCTATTCCTGATATGCAGATTTATTATTACCTTCTAGGTAATAATAAATACAGGTAAGGAACAACTCTTTAGAGATTAGATCACTTGCCCCAGTCTCAGTGGTAGATGTGGTCAAGAAAGTTATTAGACCAGTTTCTGTGCCTGAAATTCTCAATATGGCACATAAATCTACAGGGTTGCTGTGAGTCAGAACTGACTCAATAGCACTTTAACAACAACAATGACTATTACTAACTTATCTACTTATCAATTCCCATTAAGCAGCAGTCATGCTTGCAGGAGACCTCTTTTAAGTGCTTAGAAGCAAATATATCACTTTGAGGACTAAGATGCAACTGACCCAAGCCATGCTATTTCCAACTGTCTCTCATGCACGTGAAAGCTGGACGATGAATATGGAAG